ATGACTTAATATGATACTGCGTGTAAAGGAATTGGTGTTCTTGTTGTCAGTGTGGGAACTGCATTATTCTTTGGGTAAAATGTTAAATCCAGGTGGAGCTCACATATTTGGTCATTGTCTTGGTACAGATTAAAGTTGAAAGGAATGTGAAATACATTATTTAAAATTTAGTTTAATTTTTATTATAATTTTTTCAGTATAATCTTGGAAACTCAAATCAACATAGAAAGTACTTACTGTGGGGGTTATATTTTCTGTTCATGGTGTGCATACAAATGATGCATATCAAAGTTTTTCAATGTATAAATTAGCTCACTGTTGGTATCCTGAGATTTTAAGTACAGGTTTCTAGGAAGCTGATGATGATGATGATGATGGCTATTATTAGTGTTGAAACAGAGTTATGCTGTAATGTCCCAGGTTGGCCTTGAACTAATGGTCCTCCTGTCTCAGTCTCTTGAGTGCTAGGAACAGAAAGATGTGCCAGGATGCCTAGTTCTCTTTCTGATTTTTATATGTATTGTGTTTGTCAGGGAATTTATAGTTTCCAAAATAATTTTATGTATAGTTTTCATGGTAGTTCACTTAGCTAGTAGTTGGTGGAACTGAGATTCAAAACCCAGATTTCTCATTCCGTATCTGATACTCAAGAAAGGAATTTAGATGACCTTGAATTAGAACCTGGTATTCTTATTCTTACTTAAACTTTAATCCAAACGTAATTGTGTTCTCTGTGAAGCTACCATTTTCTATCCACTAGGGGTCTGTAGTATTCTGGGTTTTGTCTTCTTCTGTGTCTGCTCCAGCCTCATACCTTCGTTGTTCACCCTGTCCCTCAGTGCCCATATATGTTCTCACATACCCCAAAGCATACATATCTTCTCACTGTAGCTGTAGAACTGGGTGCTATGTAATAGTAGTTTGAGCTATTCGGTAATGAGTGCGACATGCTTATTTTAACTGTATTTTGCTGGTCTTTAGTTTTTCACAAATCTCTGGTAATATTTTGACTTAATGTACTCATTTGCAAGTCAGCTGTTTTGAGCTTGATTTCCAGAGCCTGAGTTAGTGAGCATAGACTCTTTTTGGCTAGACTAGCATCAGAGCAGTGAGGGACCTGAGAGCATTAACCCAATTTTTACTTGTTCTGTGCAATATTTTTTATGTTTATCAGTGTATTAAGAAAATGAGGTGGGAAAGTCTTTTGTTGCAAAATCACCTGTACCTAGTTTGGATTTAATTCCTGCCTAAGACTAAACAAACATGGAAAAATAGGCCTCTGTATTTTTCTGTACATTTTTATAGGTGCTCTCACCATCCTTTGAGCAAACAGGACAAGTAAATATTTTACTGTTTCATGCTCTGAAATGCTGACTGGATAAGGATTACACATGTCAAGTTATTTATAGCTTTATTTCTACACAGTGGATTCTCTTTGGTATCATAGAAAGGACAAAGATATGATAATTGCCTTGTATAGTTCACAGAATGAAATTGCAAACGGAGATATTTTGAATCTAGTTTGTACTGTAACCATATTAGGAAGCCATATTTAAACTTTAGTGGTTATCATGAAGTATACAACATGTCAACTGTGTCCCAATTCACAACAGTAAAAACCTTCTACTACTTTATTCCCTATAACCTAACCTCCATCAGATAATGCCAAATAAACTATGTTGAGAGCACATATTAATATATATCAAATGTAGCAAATGGTTTGCTGGCTGCATTTTCAGTAGTATTTATCTGTGGTCATGCAGGTTATAACTCTGGACTTTTATTAGGAAAACCAAATTGAGAATTTATAATGTTCCTGATTTAGCTTCACCAGCTGTGCCATAGCCATGGAAAATAACTCAAGAGGGTAAAAGCTAACACAGTATATATGAGACCAACAGACAAATTGCTTTTACTTCATGTTTTCTTGCTTTGTATATGCTACTATAAGGTTTAAGGTCACATAGAGTAATTAGTAGTCTCTTAACTTATAGCATTGCCTCAGTGTAGTGCTATGTGAGTGTTTGAGTTATTTCATATAAAATAAAGAATGATTATTAATTGCCCTTTAATCACAGGACTTTTGAAAGTGATTCTTTAAAATATGAATCTTAAATATGACTTTTGAATAAAAAATATACTTCCATCTTCTTTACAATAGTCACAATGAAATAATTATATATATTGTTCTGTTCAGGAATCAATAATTTGGGGCCAGTGACTTAATTTAGAGTTAGAAGAAATACTGCATTACCAGGGGGCTAGTATGAAAACTACAAGAGCTCTCTGTAGACAGCCAAAATAGTTGTGTATTTGTTAGGAAAGAACATGTTGTAGAATCTCTTGTTAAAAACATTTCTCTTTAATTTCCATTGTAGATTAGTGTTTTTTAAATTTTTTTTCTTTTTGAGACACAGTCTCCTTGTAGTCTCAGCTGGCTTGGTACTCACTATGTAGACCAGGCTGGCCTCAATCTTACAGAGCTCTGCCTGCCTGTTCCTCAGGGGTTCTGGGACTAAATGCGTGTGCCCCCACTCTTGTATCTAGAATGGTACTTTGATAAAAGGTTGCTTGTAAAATTTATGTTCAGGCTTGAGGGACTTGTCTGCTCCAATTCCTGGATGTAAATATCCCTTACACATGTTTTGCTGTAAAAAGTCTAGGTCTAATATATTTTGTTATGGTCCATTTGATTTCAGCTGGTAACTAAGCCCCTACACCTTATCTGTTTTATTCACCATTAGAGCACATTGCCTAGCCTATAGACTAGCAAATGTTTCTTAAGGAAATTTGAGCATATTGTATTCATATTGAATTTGTAGAACTTTGAATTACCTATTCATAAAGAAAAACAACAGCTACTTTCATACTGAGTGAAAATGCTTTCAGTTAATGGTTTTGTTAGCAAGCTATGTGTCCCTGTGACTACATGACTGAGATGATCAACATAAAGAAAGACTTATGTGGCTCATAGTTTTGGAGGCTTTGGTCCATGCTTAATTGACTCTATTGCTTTGGGGCCTGTGGCAAGACAGAGCATCATGATGGAGAGCACAAGGTGGAACAAGCCTACTTACATCATGATGAGCTGAAAGCAAAGAGAGAGACAAGAAGAATCCAGGGTGCCAGAATCTCTTTCCACCACACGCCTCTAATGACCTAACTTCCTTCCACTAGGCCCTACCTCTTAAAAGTCCTACCACCTCCCAATAGTGTCCCAGATCAGCAACCAGGCCTTTAATAGTAATACATCATTTTTAAGGGGATGGGAGACACTAGATGCAAGCTATAGCATTCACCTCATAGTCTTGTTATTTCTTTTGGAGATTTCATACCATTGAGTATCACCAATACTTCTAGTTATGGTAGTAGTTGACCATAAGTATCTGTAATGTTTGATTTTCAGCTACTAGTATTTGAGGTATGAGCCAAATTTTATAGATGAGAAAGCTGAAGATATGAAGTAGCTATAGAACTATTATTAAGTGATAAAGATAGGATTTATTTACAACCATCAAAAAGTATAAGATAGTATATATCAAGCACAGTTACAGAGCAGGAACCATACTGCATGTTTTGTATTTAATTTCACTGTGAGGGAAGCACAGTTCTCATTTCCATTTCACACGTGTGTAAAACCAATCACAGAGAAATTAAAGAATTGGTCATGGGCTCATGTCACATTCATGGTAGAGCCAGAGTTTTTTCTCTTACAGTACATGCAGTTGGAGTTGAGATGTGAACCTTATTGATTATGACCATTTACAGCATTGATAGCTTTGAAATATTTCATAAGTATTAGGCCTTAAAATTGTTTACCTATTTATTGAAAAGGTATGTCTTTAAGTATTTTCTGTTATATTCTGCTGATTATAGGAATGCCTTTGTTTTTCAGGACAATTAAAAGATCCTTAAGAATGTGAACTGAAATTGCCTTTGAGTTTCTTAGTCAAGAAATGAGGAATATTCAGTTTTGCTTTGTTGCTATCTTTAGTGGGGGTCTTTTTGTTGTTATTGTTCACTTTTGGTTTTTGAGATGGGGTTGTTCTGCTAAGTTCTGGCTTGCCTCAAACTTCAGATCCTCCTGCCTCAGCAACTTGAGTGCTAGGATTACAGGCATGAACTACCATGCCTGGCTTCGATATAGTTTTTATGTATGGTCTAAATTTAGGTTGAACATTTCCATTATATATGTTGTGACTTTAGGATTAGTGGTTTGCATTCTTGCTCATAGGAAGATTTGGAAAGACCATCTTTTATAGTTTTTAAACCCTTTGGCCAGAATAAGGCCGAATTAAGTTTTTTAATAAATCATAATTGTGTAGCATGTGTGTTTACTGGAGTGCCATTTATAGAATACAGCTTTTGGACAGTGAATTAAAAACATAGTTTCTTTTTAGAAGATGCTAACTATTTTCCATAAACTTATATGTTTAAATTAAACTATATGCCATTTGTAGATATTTATGTGTTTTTCTTCTTATAACTACCTGCATACCAGTAGGAAAACACTTTGACCTTCTAAATGTCACATGCTTACTTTACTTAACTTTAAAGGAAATTTCACCTTTTCAAAATTATCCAGAGATTAAAAAGAAATTAGATGATCCTGCTGAGGAAGGAGGATCATAAGGTCTAGGCTAGCCTGGGCTATATAACTAGATGTTATCACGTCCCCCCACACATCACACCAGCAAATAAGAACTAAGTTCAATTGAGCAAGCTTACAAGTTAAGATTTTTTGTTTGGTGGTATTGGTGTTAAAATGACAGTGGAAACTTGATACCTGTATTCTTGGAACTTATAAGCTATTAACTGAATCAGATCCACCCATAACTATCATGTGAATCAGGCAGTAATAAGTTCTGTGGTATAGGCATCAACAAAATAACAGTGTTAAATTAAGATAGGAAATTATCTTCTTCCTCTTGTAGGATCTAGGAGTTTCATAGTAGGTAGGAGTTGAGTAGAGCTTAATTTATTGCTTTCATTCATTCTAGACTGTCTTCTGAAGATTGATGTCTATTTCCTTGAGCTCTTTAATTTTCTTGCCAATTTGGATAAACATGGCACAAATCCACCAGGGAGGTCCAGATGAAAAAGAAAAGACTACAGCACTGAAAGGTACATGCTTCAATTACTTTTTCAGGAGATTTCCCTTGCCTAGAGAAAGTGTAGGATATTTAGGTGCTCTTCATTTCATTTCATTTCATTTCATTTCATTTCATTTCTAAACTAAGAATGTCCATATCTAAACTATTGGCAATGATTTATATTGCTCACAGCAACTATTGCAGTGTCCAAAACATAGTACATAATAAATTAATCATAGATTTGTGATTTTTACAGATATAACATTTCTTAATGTTCCTTTTGTTCAGGGTCACACATTTAATGGTAAAACAAACACGTCTTTTAAAACATGATTAGTGCTTTTACCATATTTTGGTTAATGGAATGTCATAAGCTGGCAATTCTTGTACTCTGCCACTATGTCACTGGAACTAAGGGCAGTTTATGAGAGGCCCTCCATGTTAACACCTCAGAAAAGTTTGCCTTAGACATTGTCAGGGATTTCTGAGTTCTAGACTTTTTTTGTGTTTCAATTATGCTGTCAAATACAATTTTATTCCTAGAGGAAAAAAAATGCCTCAAGAATTTCTACCATTGCTGTCATGATTTGAATTTGTAGTGTCCCTCACAGCTTGTGTTGCTATTTTCAAGGCTTTAGGAGGCAGAAGTAGGTATAGGAAGCAGGTTACTCAGAAGAGGCCTTTGAGGGTTATACCCACTCCTGGTTCCAGTGTGCTCTCTTTCTTTCCTGGTCTGTTTCCATGTGAACAGCCACTGCCACTGTGGACTCACCTATTCCTTCGTGCTTTCCCCAGCGTGAATGACAGACTTCTGAAACTGTGAGCCAAACTAAATCTTTCTGAAGTTGTTTCTGTCAGGTGTTTTGGTCACAGCATTGAGAAAGTAACTAATAAAGCTACTGTGTTCTATCTGTTATTATGAACTCCCAAGTAGATACAGAAAAAGTTACCATTATCATCAACACCAGATACTAGTTTTAGAAGTTATAAGAATTAAGCAAACAGAATACAGCAGTGTGTAAGTCTGATAATAAATCATGCCCAAATGGCACTTTTCACAACAATCAAGGCTTTCTTAACATTTGAAAACCATTGAGTGTAATTCCCTGAAGTTTGCACTTTAGATTTTAGGATCCAAATGAAGACTGGATTTAGGTCAACTCCAGAATGTTTCTTGTCTACTTTGAATTGGTGACTAACCTAGGGGTATTTCCATTTATGGAGAATGTCAAGAGCTGACAAGTCAGATTATATAAACACAGGGTAAGGTGCTGTGTTAGCCAGGTTTCCATTAGTCAGGTAACAAAATATCTGAGGCAACTTAAAAAGAGGAAAAGTTCATTTTGGTTCACAAGATTGGACGTTTCCATTGACAGTACTGGTTCCACTGCTTTTGATATTACAGCAAAAACACAAAGCAGAAGACCTCATCGTTGCTATAAAGCAAAGAAGGGAGACCTGAGCCTCACAGCCTCTTTTTGAAAACACAGCCCAATGACCTAAAACCTTCTCAGACTTGCCTCTTAAACGGTTTCCATCATCCTGTATTGTAAAGCTGAAAAGCCAAGCCTTTCGGGGCTGGAGAGATGGCTCAGAGGTTAAGAGCACTGACTGCTCTTGCAGAGGACCCAGGTTCGATTCCCAGCACCCACATGGCAGCTACGAACCATCCTTAACTCCAGTTCCAGGGGAATCCGATTTCACATGTAGGCTTTGAGGGAACATTCCAGACCAAGACTAGGAAATTCTGCTTGACTGATATCTACAAATAAGCTGTTGCCTCACATCAAAAGCAGCCTAGTGGCAAATACGAATTTCTTAGCGAAAGCCTTCATCATTGAGACTGAGAAAGGGGAGGGTAATAGTTAATGAACTATAATCAAGGCTATAAGAAATGATGATGAGAATAAATTAACATCAGATTTCACAATCTCCCCATTGCCTGGTATTTCCTCGCAGTTTTCTTTAGAATGGTACGATATACAAATACATCTTGATGTCTTTTTAAAGTATATGAATTTCATATATTGAACCATTTTACTATTCCACAAAACCTTCCTTAGGTGACTGACTTTTGTCCCAACATACATGCACTACTGAGGTAAGGCTTCTTATGCTGCTGTCCATGGTCCTAGTCTGGGTCAGCAATGCTGACTCATATTATGTGTGTTATGTATTATATTTAGTGAAAAGGGCTCAGGAACCAGTGGAGATCACTTCTACTACCTTATGAAATTTACTAGAAGAATAACAATACACAGAGATGAGTAATGTCACATGACATTTTTTTACATACACACACATATTTAAATTTCATACATTTCCCACTCAAATCCAGACCCCCTCCCACATCCATGCCTCCCCCATCCCCTCACTGAGCCCTATGTGCTCTGCCATACATGCTGAGTCCTATTCATTCAGCTCTTTGTACCCAAATGTCTTTCAGTGTAAATGTGTCCACTGGTATTTAGTCAGCACATCCACCATCCAGTGGTCATATGTAAGTTATACTCTCCCTTACCCAGCAGCAATCAGTCTCAAATAGTTTTCAATCTAGTGCTGGCCCACCACCTATTTCTTACCTCTCCTTTGGGCCCTTGTTTAATTAAGCTGACATGGGTCCCATGCTTGATGCCACAGGCGCACATGAATAAGTCTCCAGTGGCCTGGAAGCCTCCACCTCCCTGTGTTCATGAACCAGCCCTGGCTCTTACAATCTTTCTGCCTCATCTTCCGCAATGGTCCCTGAGCCATGGGTGAGTGAGGTTCATGTAGGTGTCCCATCCTACACTCTACAGTCTTACTCTCCAAAACTTGACCAGTTGTGGACTTCTGTGTACATCACACTCTGATGTACATGGAAGCATCACTGGTGAGAGTTGAGGGATGCATTAGCCCTCTCCCTACCCCTTATTCCCACTGTGTTCCATGAGCCTTAGTTGTAGAGATTCAACTGCAGATATATCACCAGTACTGGTCATCTCTCAGGCGTGTATGTTCTCCGTGCCTGACCAGATGTGCAACTCTGCAGTAGTCATCATCTGTTGCAAAAGGAAGCTTCTTTGATGAGAGCTGTACTGGGAATGCTTGTCACTCTAAAGGAGGTCTCTTCTATCTGGGACTGTATTCCCTACCAAGCAGCTCCTAGGTATACATATGCATTAATGTTCAGACACTCTATGTGCATTTCTCATAGGGTTTCTAGGGTGTTGCTTTTCCCTCTAGGTCTCCTATCCCCCTGATATTCACTCATCTCTACTCTCTTTTTCTTCCATCCAGCTTCCTTCTTCCTTCCCTCCCTAGTCACAATGCCCCAATTATCCTCTCTCTCTCCTCAATACCTCCTGACTCCCATTATGTTTCCTCTCCTGAATTCCCTTCCTCCTACACACCATGATACCTTGCATGTCCCTCCCTCCTCTCCTCCCTGCTGATTACTCACACTTTTCCCACTTTCCTCATGTAACATCTGTTCCCTACTATCTCCCTTTCAGGTGTTTCTTTTCCTTTACCTCCATGTATCCTTTGCCTTTACCTGGCTCCTGGTGTTACATCAGAATTTATATACTCACATATAAGGGATTGATACTACAACCCACAAGTGAGGGAGAACATACGTCACTTGCTTTTCTGCATTTGTGCTACTTCATTTAGTATAACACTCTCTAGCTCCATCCATTTACCCATAAACTTCATGGTTTAATCTTTTCTTACTGCTGAGTAGAACTCCACATTTTCATTAACCATTCATCAGTTGAGGGACATTTCAGTTGTTTCCATTTCTTAGCTTTTGTGGAGAGAGCAGCAACAAGCATGGGTGTACCGGACAGGTATCTCTACAGTATGATGAGTCATATGGGTATATGCCAAGGAGTGGTATCATGGGATCATATGGTAGGTTCATTTTTGGTTTTTTGAGGGTTCTCCACACTGCTTTCCATAGTGGTTGTGTGAGTTTACATTCCCACCAGCCATGAATGAGCGTTCCTCTTTCTCCACATCTTCTCCAGAATTTGGAGTCTTTCCTTCTCTTGGTCTTTGCCAATCTGACTGGGGTAAGATGGAATCTTAAAGTGGTTTTTATCTGCATTTCTCTAATTATTAAGGCTATTGAGCACTTTTTAAGGTGCTTCTTAGCCATTTTAATTTCTTCGTTTGGGAACTCTCTGTTTAGGTCTATTGCCATTTTTTTTATTGGGTCGTTTATCTTCTTTCTTTTTTGAGTTCTTTGTATATTATGGATATTAATCCTCTGTTGGATGTGTAGCTGGTGAAGATTTTCTTCCACTTAGTCAGTTTCCTCTTCCCTTCCTTAGTTGTTTCTTTTACTGTACAGAAACTTTGTAATTTATATATACTTTTAATATTTTATTATTTGTATTTTATGTGTGTGTGTGTGTATTGCCTGCATGTAAGTAAGTGCACTCGTGTCATGCAATGCCCATGGAGAACAGAAGAAGCTGTCAGTTTCCCTGCGACTGGAGTTATGTGCAGACAGCCATGTGGGTGCTGGGATTTGAACCTGGGTCTTCTGCAAGAACAGTGTTCTTTTTTAAAAAATTTTTTAAATTTAAATTTTTTAATTTAATAACCACATAATTAGAAGAAGCATTTCATTACGACAGCATTGACATATTCAGTAACAATTTCCTGAGCTTAGATGCATCTCTTTCAGAATTGGCTGTAAATTTTTAGGTTTACAGTTGAATTATTACAGTTATACAATATTGTACTCA